TTCTTTGAAAGGAAAATCGTTCAATCCGCTGGAGGACTGCAAAAGCAACTGAGAGGGTTTTTCGATTCTAACTCTGGAACCTTCTATGGAAGGGGGAACTGGAACTTACAGGAAGATGGCGAATCTTTACTCAACAGAATGGAGGATATATTCTCCAATCAATGGATTTCTTCTTCTAGGAATTTTCATTCAAAGATGGATCAAAAATCGGCGGAAACTTTTCGGACAACCCAATAGAACGCCTGGTTTACCGATGCTACTGTTACAGAAACAAGTAATTTGAAACATTAGACCGACAGTAGCAGCTTCATCTGAAACCACATCGAAATAAGGAAAATATTGAAAAACAAACAAGACGATATGAGAGGAAACGGAGCTCACCGGGACTGTGTATTTGATTGCACCGATTTGTATGCTACTTTCACCCGTACGATGCATTTCCTCAAGTGCTGTCACCTGGAATTCGTCTTCACAATTTGGAAAAACGAAAGCAGTCCCACTGCAACAATTCTACGGACGATATTTTAGATGAGGATTGGATTCCATAGAAGACATTGTATACAGAAAACAGCAGAAATAGCAAAAGTGCTTGTAACCAGAAAGTCACCATATACCTTGCCAAAAAGCGTAGAGAAACAATAGTTGTAAGCGATCATCATGGACGGATAAAGTGACTGAAATCATCAAGAAATAGCAAAAATCGGAACAAAACGGACTAAAAGCGTACTTGAAAATCAAGAACGATGACTGGATCGAAGTACACTTTTGACAGAGGTTCCATGATGAGCTGCAGCTGTTCAGGTGCATCCATTCTGGAGAAAAATAACCTCATTACGAAAATTTGCCAAAGTTTACAATAGGTCCAATGGATAGGAAAGGATTCTATCTAAAAGACCTGTGGTATGGGAGTGCTAGGTGTGAAATGATTAAAAGTAAAATAAAGGATAAAGTTTTTGGCGTTAGTCAATCCCGTCTGAGGGATGCGCCCCCGCACTTGACTTCCATTCAGAATCGTAGTGGCGTAATGAGTGCGTATGTGGCCTATACAATNCAATGACTTGCGGTGGCCAGCCGATGTACAGTCAGTGCTTTTATCCTCCCAGACGAGTCTGGTACCAATTCACCGACCCCGGAGGGATGGCAGGCTTGGTTGGCCTGGGCGGGCATCGATCCGGCATTCGGAACCCTGGCCGTGGGTGTGATACATATAGTGCGCCTTTTACCACTACACCACCTTCGCCCTTGTAAATAAAATAATAAAATAATGTAAAATGATTAGATAGTAGAAATTCAAGGTTTGGAAGAGAGCAGAGATAGATTCATTTCGGAGGCGAAACTCAAACAAAAGAAAACGGAAGCTTACTGTATCCTCTGAGAAGGAATAACAGACGGCATTACAAATCCTTGCGTGTGAGCTAGCCGGAACATCATCGATTCCACTCTTAACTGGGAACCTCTACTCCACACCTGGAATCCTCTTTGTGACTCTTATGAGGGAATATCACGGAACCACTCACCTCGTGAAACTGAATACCATATACGCGAGCCATCTCAGCTGTTTTCAGGAACCAATTGACTTCGTTCAGCAATGAAATATTCAGTAGCGCTAGCTTGTTGACGTAGTTAATCACCATTTCACTAAAGCTTATCTCGCCTCATGGTGATCATATAAAACCTCTAAAAATACCTTACTATCTTGGTTTCCACTTTCCAAACAGATTTTGACAAAGAGCGCGATCGTCAAGAATCGGTAGCTTCCTATTCAGAACCATCAATGCCGCCGTACCCCTGTCATAGGACCTGCAAAAATGAAATTGCAGAGAAAACACCCCAGCTTTTGGCGAAGTATGACATGCCTCCACTAACGGTGATGTATGCGGCTTCGATGATTGATAGCTCGTTAAATATATCTGATTTGTAAGAGAATTTTGGGCGAAGGTGACGTACGTAGTGATCGCTACCCAACATGACCAGGGCAAGGGAGGCTTCTTCCATACCTGGGGCGATTATTTCGTTCAGCACCCATTCGGGAGTATAAAATCACTGACCTATGCATCGGCTGGCTACGACAAATCATTTTATAGGCCGCATACGTATTCAGACACTACTACGGTCCTGACGGGCGTTGCATGAAAGGACGCATAGCTTCAATAAAATAGATCGACGCTAGGATTCCTTTTACTCTTCTCAAGTGTATCATACTTGGCAATAGAAGTTACTGCCACGCCCCCATGCCCCCAGCAGACCCTCTCCCAGACAAGTACGGTAACAAAAAACAGACCCTGGGAGAACGGAAATCCTGGTTGGCAAATAGGACCATCTATTCGGGGTTCAATTTCCGAATCATGCACATGTCAGAGTGAGTCCTTTGCCGCCACCAACCACCGCCCGACTTGAAAATAGTTAATCAAACTCAAAAAACTTACCTAAGCTGTAGTTCAGAGCGAAGTATTCTCCATACAGCTCGTAATAGCCTACCCGAAGGAGGATTCAAGTCTTCGGGAAGATCATAGTGTCGATCTAAGGGCGCTTGATAACCTAAAAGACGCCAAAAGCAAATTTTTCACACATCTGTCTGGTACTCACATGGATGGGCAAAATGCCTATCCTCGGACGGGACCCAAACCCATATTTGTGGTGTAAGGGATCTGCTCTATACCACTAATCCTACCGAAACCCCTTCCCCCGTCTCCATAATGACATTCTATCCCTAGTTAACCAGGATTCAATTGCAAGACGTGAGAGGCGTCAGTCGATAATCGTTAACCGCTTTGAATCCCCAAGCTGTAAACTTTCCATGCACACTAACGAACCAATACTCGAAAAAGTGCTCGGTATAGGAAAATGGGGAAAACAGTGGTAATGGGGATTAAAAGTTTCGAAACCTTGAGGTACATTAGCATGGCTGGGTTGGCAACTTCGACTCTCCCCTCTTCTGTGACCAACGTCAGTTGAAAGAAAATCTCCCCTCTTCTGTGACCAACGCCAGTTGAAAGAAAACCACTGATAGAAAGAGATCCATTGTGAGGGAAGACGGCGCAGCGAAGATATCACCACCCACAGCTATACTCGAATTCACTTCGAGTCAGAAATAAGGATACTTAAAAAGCGTGATTCACATTGCAGTACCTCGGGGATAGCGTCCAAGCTCTTGATGAAAGTCAAGAAATCCAAGAACCAAAGCTCTTCTGAGAACGTAACCCCAAGAAAGGCGGACTGTGTCGTAACCGAATAGAATATCTGGATCTGATCTGGAAACACCGAGCCATCAGAATTTCGCCAAAAAAAAACGCAGTGTAGTAATAGTCTTACTTTTTCACCAAAGTTTTCAGCTCCTCAAATAGAGACTGCTCGTCAGGAACCCAGGCCAGATTCTCATTCGAGAGGTTCTGTAACAGGGAACGAGCAATTCTTAGTTATTTTCAAGATTGCCAACAGTTGATAAGGCGTTTTTCTCTAGTTTGAAATGAAGAATTCTAGAGAATTCCTCCCAACGCGTACTCGACCGACTCGTGTAAGCAGGTAACGCTAAATATGCAGTGTAAGGCAGCCCAAACTGAAAAGCGCAGGATAAGGAAGGCTACAAAATATTGCCATCTCGCTTACAGCAATATTATTTAGATATGAGCAAGGTTAAAAAGGATCTCTGAGAGATTTTGAAAACTCGAAAGCTGAAAGGATTCAGTACGCTCGCTGTAAGAACAGCCTTCAGGCGCCTCTCGAATCGTTCCAAGAGATTTTCTGCATAACATACACACAAATTGTATTGCTCATCAGAAGGAATACCTGAACAGGCAAAGTCGTAACAAAAATCAGTTGAGGCGATGTGGTGGTTCGACAAACGTCTTCGAAGACGCAATAGGAAAATCCCAGAAGCGGATCGAACTGAAAGAAGAACACTCAGCTAAGATTACTTCCATTGGAACATTGACTGGATGAGTTCTTGAGGAACGAACCTGTGGATCTGGCATCGAAGCCTGAGTAAACACTAACAGTTCCAAGCTTGCCGCACTTAGGCAGGATATCCCTGATAGATCATCTTCCATCCTTTCGCCGTCAGCTAAAATGGAACTGTGCCATAACAAAAAGTTTGCTGAGAAGAAACATGGAAAAGTTCTGCTGAAACGGAAGTGAACTTGCTTGAGTCCTTATCGATAACATTTCTGTTGGACTTCTCTAAAAGCTATGCGGCATATTCCATAAGCGTGGGCGAATACCTCGTAACGCCGCCGCAATCTGTGCAAGAATTATTCAGGTATCAGCTACAGAGCGCTCTTTGATCCCAGCTACTTTCTTCACGGTTGATCTTCCGCAGCTAGGGAGAGCGGTCGGGGGAAGACAGCTCCAAGGACCACTATCACCCACAAGGTCCCGGATAGATACTCAGGCTCATCCGGAATCTGGAATTGATCCCCCCCCCCCTGGAGTCTGTTAATTAGTACCAGACACCGTCCCAGGAGGTAGAAAGCATTGCTCAATTACCCACCCACCGCTAGCCGTTGTATAGGCTACATATGCGTTAGAAATCCACTATGGAAATTCAAATGGAAGCCGAATGCGGGGCTCATCGCAGAAACGGGATTGACCTACAGGAAGACAGCATACCCGTTGATCCTTCACCGCTATTTTTTAATAGGCCGACAAACTTCGCATATTTCCTTCTGCTGCGTGGGATAATAGACTCAAAAGCTAAGGAACTGTTTCTTAATATTCATCTGTCTGTGACAATGGTCCACAGCCAGCACAAGGAGAGATTTTGGCAGTTTTTTGGGGAGGTCGTGTTACCCAAGTCTCGCGAGTATGACTCCACGAAAGGTGAAATTCAAGTAAAAAAATGGTAAGTACGTCAGACCATGCATACCATTGGAGGATACGTTGAGAACAGCCGTCTTCTCCAATGATGAGTTCATGGGCATCTTAAAAAGGTATGTCGGATGAAGAAGGGACAGGTTGAATCTGGAAGACGTACCGGATGAAAGCTTGCATCCGCAAACACGCTTGTGGTATCAGATGGAAACGATCCGGATGCTTCTGTTCCAGTTGATTGTTTTACGCGACGTTCGAGCGGCAAGTCTACGTCCATCGTTACCCATCTTCTTAACGAAGGAGGAGAAGAATAGAAATCTGGGAGTTAATATAAGGAATTTTTTAGGGGCCATACATATCGTTTCTTTGGGCTGATTTTACCCAGACTCATCCAGGAGGTAAAAACACTGGCATCTCTGCAAGCCTTAAGAAAAAGAATACAAATCCACACACCACAGCGATTTTGAGAGCAAGCTAAATGCACGGGTGCATTCCAAAGCAGTATAACATATACTTTCAATACGCAACAATATCAACTTTTCAACTGCACGCTACAACGCGCATGACTATAAACCAATGAATCGATTCGAACGATATCTTGGAATTTTGTAAACCCCTACCTTTCACAACCCGGAACGACATCGGCCTGAGCCGACCAAGCTTTCCAGCCCTCTGTGGCCGGCTAGTTAGTACCAGACTCCTTTGGGAAGATAAAAGTACTGACTTGTTCATCAGCTGGCCACCGCAATTCGTTGTATAGGTCGCATACGCACTCACTACGATTCTGAGTGGAAGTCTAATGTGGGGGCGCATCCCTCAGACGGGACTGATAAACGCCCAAGAAATTGGTCCTACATGTTTTAATTGTGAATAAATTTTAACTCACAAATCCTCTCCTTTCAATACAGTTGTTAGATGCGCTCACGTATTGCCCTCAGAACTTAGAAATACAAATAAAGTTTTAAACGATTTATGTTTGACTCAGACATAAGATGAACCTCCCAGAAGCTCAACGTACTCGCGTTAACACAAGCACGGACAATATGTAGAAAAGGACGTGTGCGACAATAAATAAGCATTCTATTTTTGAATTTTTCCCTTAGCGCTCTATAGAGGAAACTGAGTGGCACTGTAAAAAAGGTGTGCCACTTCTTGCCTCGCGATTGACGCTTTCTATCTTAGTTAGCAAATTACCTCTCCCGTGAGTTCTTTGAGATGGACAATGGCAAAAAATGTTGCTGAAAGACTCACGAATTTACTAACTGTTCCGATGGCTCCGGTGTCGGTTCATCTTCACAAAAGAAGTCCTCCACGTCAGGGACCTGACTTGCGAGAAGCATTAGGAAAAGAGAACAATGGGCCGAATCTCTTCGTTTTTAAATGTAACCCACCTCTTTATCTTCCTCATACTTCCTCTTCAAGGAGTCCTTTAATTGTGTCATCAGCACTTCCTCCTTAGCAACCGTATCAGCTTCATCTTCGTAACTTTCATCCAGACCGGCTTCTTTTGGTTCGACAGCTGGAGCCTCAATATCCATTGATTCATCCCGTTGTGTCACTTCGCCGGTCCACACCATTGTTGAATCCAGGTTTTGATCGCGGTCGTTGTAAGAATCATTATCAAGCATAGTGTCTAAAAGCAGCGCTTCGATATGAGGAGTATTTCAGCTGGGAAGGATTCTGTCAGGGAATATAAATGACCGTACTGTTTAAAGGCTGTGTAGGAATCGCTTCGCCTTTTTCTTCGACCATCTCTTTGGCGATTGACTCGAGTCGCTCCAGTAAATCCCGCTCCGATTGAATCTTCCAGTAAGGTCGAGGCGTGTCTGGGAATAATGCTCTGAGTTCAGTGTTTTTAGAAATTAAATGAAATGGGNGGGGGGGGGGGGGGGGGAATATGGCGGCTTCATTTCTTTTTAAATGAATCATACTACATCTGCACTAAGGGCATTTCCCAGAGGATAGATGGATAGCATTGCTTCTCCATTCCAACCCGCTTCGCATGCGGTTTGGGGACACTGGATGAGTCAAAGTCTTCAGAACCTACACTTACAATAAAAAGTTACTGCTATCTGTTGGGGCGCATCCCGACGTATAAAATTGGAAGCTCCCAAAAAAGAGGTGTGACGGTAATTTAAGAAATCAGGTAGTAAGCCAATTTGAAAACCTATTAGGCTTCTAGGAAAGAGCAAGTTCTTCAACCAGTGGTATCTGACTGTGGGCGAGCTAAATTTGTAGGGTGACCAGCATTCGGAAGGAGTCCGGCTGTTGGAGCCCAAACACTCTGAACAGCTCCTTCCTTTCTGGTTAACTTCTCAGCAGCCATCCAAAATGGCGTCGAAGAGGCTCTATTACAGGACTAGTGATTGCAACATGGACCTTCGCATTCACATCACAGCGTCTGCTTCTAAGTACGAGCTGTGGTTTAGTAAGAGTCTTTTCATGAACATGTTTCATGTGTTCCGCGATTATTGCTGAAGACATTCTACATTTACGTACAGTTATTGAAGACGTCTTCGAGTTTGCGTCCTTGAGCATTACATCGTGCAGCTTCTTCACGCCAAATATATTCCAGACCAGGATTGGATGAATGGACTGAAATAGGCTCTAAAGTTCAGAAGAGTGAAGGTGAGATATTTGGCTAAATACCATTGAATGAGTGCAATTCTTTATTCATGATGTCCGTGACGAAAGCGTCACACTCCACTGCACACGAAGTGATTGGCATCAATGGTGAAAGCAGAGACGGTCTGAATTTGTAAGTTTTACTTTCAATGGACGCAAATTCTTCTTCGGTCATTAAGCTGTCAGCTGCCTAAAGCAGCGGTCAGCCAGACTCCATTATATACTTGAATGTTTCTCTGGCCAATACAGCAACTTAAAGATTCGGTCCACAACAAGGTCGACCCATCAGATCAATAATTGGGAAGAAATTCCAATTCTTAATTAACAATGGTATGACAGAAGGCCCGGAAAGGGCATGGCAAGGGCTCAAATTCCACTAAGGCGTCGTCATTAGGAGATGGATGTTGTATACAAGTTTTGAGCTCTTACTGCGGCATTCCAGACGGGTCTGGTACTAATGAACCGAGCCCAGGAGTCGGGAAGGTTTGGTTGGCCCTACTGATAAAAGTTACATGGAAAAGGAAAGAAGGATGGACTATGAACAAAGAGGAAGAAGAAAAAGGAAGCAAGAAGGCTGTATGAATGAACACTCAATGAGACCAAATTGACATTTCTTGCGAGTACAGAGATTCCCAATCAAAAATGAAGAGAGCCTCCAAGGTTTTTGAGCGTTCATTTCAAAAACTACATAAAGAAGTGAAAACCTACGAGTTAAGCACGTCACCGACGACCACTCCTTCGATAATGGTTTCTGAAAGTGAGAACATGGTCACAACATTTACATAGCATTTACTATAGCCACGAATGAGTTCCAAGTATTTCGTGGCTCATACTCTACGTTGAAAGCTCCACTCTAGGCTGAGCGATACGGCCAGGAGCAAGCGTATCGCCAAAATCGTCAAGATGCATCGGCTAATTGTTCCCACAAACAACCTATATTTTGCACCTTTTCCCCGGTTGATTACGTTTATTTCCTTTTATTTGTCATCAAAATGAATGATGATTACACCATCAGAGTAAATACGACTCACCTTGAGAATCACTATTTGGTGATATACGATACTGAACGCGCCTGAGGGAAATCTCGTCCATCCCAAATATGGAGTAATCAATAAAAAACTGAAAATAAGCACAGAAATTTGATGGTGCTTNTAAGAGACAGCCTCGAGTGAATGATTCCAGAAATCATTCTTGAAATTCTTGAAGATCCTGTGTTACAAACCTGTAGTATAAACGGAGTGTGTGCTTCAAAGGGTTGCATAATGGGAAACTCATCTACTTCTCTGGCTAGTGAACTCAGTAGTCTAGAAACATTTTCAATTAATCGGATTTCTAATTGACAGCATGAATCCTAGTAACTTGAAGGGAAATGAAAAAATTTACGAAATTCAGGTTTTGCCCGTACACTACAATGCTAATCGTACTGAAAAGTTAATCTTATCCTATCTTCGAAACGAAACACTCAGACTAACGGTAATGCCATGCTTGAACACTTCAGTTTGTCCTCTACAGCTCACATGTTAATAAAAGAAATTTGATCTCACTTCGCACGATGCATTGGATTGTAAAAGTAAATCTTCGCGAACGGTTCGTCTTCTTCCTGGTAGCCATAGATGGACCTATAGAAACTACTTCTGACTGTCAACAAGAATTGCTAATTCAATGATCTGTAGAGTTGAAATCTCAATGAAATCGAAGTAAATCAATACAAGGATTTATACTGTGAAAAATATTGTCAAATTATCATGAGTTCGAATTTGAAGATGAAAATGCTTTTATGCTAAAAGGAACTATCAGGTATGACCGTTTCTTACCAATGATTTCACTTCTTCATTTGAAAGTTCTTAATATACAT